CCACTGGGGACAGGGAGGAACTGACCAAGGATGAAATACTGCAGAAGAACCGGGAAGAATTCTTCAAGAGACACATGAAAGCAGGGGAGAAGTCCAGGTGGGTTGCGAGGGCACAGTCAGGCTGTGGTGAATCCACACGTGCTGCAGCCCAGCTCTTGCTGGAGGCTCCTTGCCATCCCTCGGTGATACTGAGCTTCTCTTTCCTTCATTGTCCCTGAAAATCATCCTGTTAATCCTCAGAATGTGCTCAAAGTACAGGATGGTGTTCAAAATCCAGACCTCGTGTGGGGTCCAGATTTCTTTTATGGGGGGGAGTTTTTCCCACTGCAAGTAAAGGGTGAGCTGATGGCTGGCTTGGGTTAAAGCAGGCCATACTGAGCTTGAGACAAGGCTAAAGTTCAGATAGATAAACTCTGTGGAGATTTGGCATTGGTCAGTTTTAGCCTGGATTTTTGCCTTTTTTGATAGCCGGACTTTGAGTTTTTGAAGCCTCTAAGGACGAATTTGCTCGTACTTCACTCAGCAGAACAAAACGTCTGTGGTCTTTATTTCAGCAAGTCTCCAAAGCCTGATGCTCAGAAGGAGAAGGGGAAGAAACCCCGAGTGTGGGATCTGGGGAACTCTAACGCCAAAGTACTTGATTACAGTAACTCCACTACCAACGGGAACTCAGAGGCCTCTCCCATGGAGGAGTTTGAGCCTGATATGGTAAGAAGTCAGGTCATGGTGTCTGCTTTGGTGTGTTCTGGAGTCAGCAGGGCATCACCAAGAGTGGCTGAGAAAGTGCTGGAAGAGGGGATCAGGGCGCCCAGCTGCTGCCTGGAGGAGGTTTTCTTCTGCTGCAAACAGCACCAGATCTGCATGCGCCAATCTGACCAAACCACTGAGCACTTGTGGCAGGGATCTGTAGAGCTGCATCTGCTGGCTGTAGCTGATGCTGTTCCTATTGAAAGCAAGCTGGGAAAACATCATTGAGCAGTTGCCAATTCTCAGTGTGCTGCATTCATCTTGCAGGCCCTTAAGGATCGAAACCGTGAGCCTGGCCGCCTCTATGACCTCGAATATGAGAGTGACGAAGAAGCTGAGGAGGAGAAGATTATTCAGAACGCTTCAAAACCCAGGTAGAGGCTCCTGAGGCCCTGACTGCTGCATCCTTCGTGATTTCCCTCCCATAATTCATTTTCCAGACTATTCAGTAATGCAGCAAGTACAGACAGGTCTGTTTGTCAGCTGTGACAGGCTATTGTCTCTCCCTGCTGCTGGCTGCTGCATGCACTGTGCAGTTCACACCTAAGATAAGTGTTCTGCTTCTGTGCAGCACAAAGAAAGGTGGCCTCGGAGGTATGTTTGGCATGCTGAAAGGCCTGGTGGGCTCCAAGAGTTTGACAAGACAGGACATGGACCCAGTCCTGGAGAAGATGAAAGATCACTTGATTGGTACGTGTGGGTCTGCTGTGCGTGGCTTTGTCTGAATGGTGAAATCAGGAGGGGATCCTTCAGTTCCACTCTTCCCTCTGCGCCAAACTCCCAGGCCTGCTGTGATGCTGGTGTTCAACATGTGCCGTCTGTCCTGCTCTGATAACTCTGCTCTCTTCTCTCTGTCTCTCTCTCTCCCAAAGCAAAAAATGTGGCAGCTGAAATTGCAGTCCAGCTCTGTGAATCAGTGGCGAAGAAACTGGAAGGGAAAGTGATGGGAACGTTCACCAGTAAGTGGTTGTGCCCTGCTTCTGTTCTTATTGGTGTGTGCAGCTCGCTGGCCTGGGTCCCCTGCTTCTCCAGCCTGGTGAATCTATGGTACCAAATGTCTTCCTGGCCTCCTCGCGTTGGTAATTTGGGGATCAGGGCTCCTCTGCAGGGCTTCCCAGGTGTGACACGTTCTCCTTTCATCTCCTTTTTCCCAGCTGTGACCTCAACAGTGAAGCAGGCCCTGCAGGAGGCCTTAGTGCAGATCCTGCAGCCGCAGCGCCGCGTGGACGTGCTCCGGGACGTCATGGATGCGCAGCGGCACCGCCGGCCCTACGTGGTCACTTTCTGCGGCGTCAACGGTGTTGGGAAATCCACCAACCTGGCCAAGGTGGGGCACGGCGCCGGCGGCTCGGGGACAGGACTGGGCTCGGGCCGCGGCCACTAACGAGGCTTTTCCATTGCTGGCCGCAGATCTCGTTCTGGCTGATTGAGAATGGTTTCAGCGTGCTCATTGCTGCCTGCGACACGTTCCGAGCGGGGGCTGTGGAGCAGCTCCGCACTCACACCCGGCGCCTCAACGCCCTGCACCCCCCGGAGAGCCACGGCGGGCGGAGCATGGTGCAGCTGTACGAGAAGGGCTATGGGAAGGACGCTGCAGGCATCGCCATGGAGGCCATCTCCTATGGTAGGAAGGAGCGGCGCAGGTGGGGCCGGCTGGGACCCTGGGCTTCCTCTACTTACGCTTTCTCCGCATCTCCGCAGCTCGTAACCAGGGCTTCGACGTGGTGCTGGTGGACACGGCGGGCCGCATGCAGGACAATGCCCCCTTGATGACAGCCCTGGCAAAACTCATTGCCGTCAACGCTCCTGACTTGGTCCTTTTTGTTGGAGAGGCTCTGGTGGGAAACGAGGCTGTGGATCAGCTGGTGAGTGTGCAGAGTTGCTTTCTGGGAAGGGCAGATCTGTGTGGGTTTTATGGGTGTTTCAGACGGGGTCGGTGACACATCTTCATTTCTTGAGGATGTTCTCTTCCTCAGGTCAAGTTCAACAAGGCCCTGGCTGACCACTCCATGGCCCAGACGCCCCGGCTCATTGATGGAATTGTGCTCACCAAGTTTGATACCATCGATGACAAGGTAAGGGAAGCGTTTCGTGCTCGGGGGGTTTTCTCCAACCTTACCCTGGTAGAGAGCTTCCTGCTGGTGACAGGAGGGAAGAGCTGCAGTCAACAAACAAGGGCTATTTTCAGTGGGCCACTTATGGCCTCTCCTGGAGGCTGTCCTTCGTGTTAAAATGCGCTCCAGCCATCTAGACAAAACGAAGCAGACTGATTTCTGTCCCTGTGGACAAATGGCCGTGAGGTGTCCCAGTTCTTTGGCAGAATTGCACTGAGGGATGTGGAATTGGGACTGTACAGTTCTGGAAAACATAAGAAGGCTGAATGTTTGTGCTCCCCTGAGGAGGTCATACTGGGACAGCTGCAGCAAGCACATCCCAAGGGAAGTGCAGCTGAATCAGGCACTCAGAGCCTGCATTAAATGCCAAGCAGAATAACATGGCTTTAAATCAGGGTGAATCTGCTTATGCAGCGTAGGGAGTGAGATCTGCAGAATGCGAAATCCTGGAGGGAGATGACTTGTGGCTGCAGGTGCCACTGACACCTGGTTATGCCAGCTGCAATGCCCCCTGGCCTCCTGCCTGCCCATGGAGCTGAGCACGGGGTGTGAGGTGCCTGCATCCTTGGGAGCAGCCTGTGTGTTTCTGTGTGTTCTCCAAAACTCAGAGCTTCAGGCTCAGAAATTTGGATCCTTGCTGTTGCATTCTTGGGCCCTTTTTTTGCCTCCCTCTGAAGTCTGCAGTGAACTGGAAATGTTCTTATGGAGCAGCAGGCTGTACAGGGGGAGGCTGGCCCTGCTAATGGTGCTCGTCCCCTCGGCAGGTCGGCGCCGCCATCTCTATGACCTACATCACAAGCAAGCCCATCGTTTTTGTTGGTACTGGACAAACCTACTGTGATCTGCGTAGCCTTAACGCCAAGGCTGTGGTCGCAGCGCTCATGAAGGCCTAAAATCAAGTATTGCACCAAATTGCTGTTTGCAGATGTCTCAGAAGAACATGCTTCACCCTGTGACTGACTAGTCTTTCCAGTGTAGTGCAGAACAGAATGAAGGGGTGCGGGTGCAAGGGCTGTGCTTCCCCTGCCCATCTGATCTCAGTGCTCGCTGGTGTGCTCTTCCAGCACTGCATGAGCATAAAGTAGGAAGGAAGGTGTTAGCTGATCACCTTGTGCTTATTCCAGTTAGGTCCATGCTCTCCTGCCATATTTATTGACTATGGTGTATTTGTAGATGAAAGCTCTTTCTCTACTTGGAGCGTTCCTCCCTGATCAGCTGTGGGGCTTTGCTCAGTATAGCCCTGCCCCTGGATTCCTTCATTCTGTTCCAATAACTCGGCCTCCCTCATGCAGAGGCTGAAACCAGAGCTTTGTATTGTTCATGCTATCTGAGTGGCAGTGCAAGGACCTGCTGTCATTGGGGCTGTGCTGTCACTGGCAGAAGCTGTGCACTGTTGGGCAGGGCTGCAGGTGGGTACTGAGCCCCAAGCTGCTCTTTTGTGCTCTTGCAGACCATACAACAGGGACAGCTGCTGCTCAGTGACAGCATTAGACCACCTGACCGTTCATAGTGCTGCTAACTTTGGCTGTAGCAGCTCACCAAAGTTGATAAACCAAAAATTGCAACAGCCTGCCCCTGTCCTGGGCAAGCAGGGGCTCCCGGGGAGATGCTAAACTGCCTTATGGCCCCCATTTCTTTTGTCGCTGGGGTCTCGCTGCAGGGTACCCAGAGAACTGCAGCAGTGTCTGGTAGTGCTGGTTGTTCCACCGGCCAGCGATGGAGGGCAGTGTGCCCCTGCGGCTCTTCTGCCTGCTGGCCTCAGCGTTGTTTGCTGCCTCAACTATGTAACAAAAGAAAACAAATACTGGAAGACGGTGGCTGCTTGCTGCTTCCCTGCACCCTTTCTCCCCCCCCCTTTAGAGTGCCTCTTGATCCCGGTCTAAAGTGCTACATTGAATAATACAAAACTCTCTTATGATGTCTTGTAGCTCCGTATTGCAGATGTGCTCTAGTGCAATAAATTGAATGCTGTCTGCTAAGAGACATAATTTATATAAATAAACTTCATAATTTGTTTTCTGTGTACAACTAGCTTGCCTTCAGCCAAGACCCCTTTCCTTCTCAGGGGGAGACAGGCTGCTGCCTCTGCCTTCAGCCTGTGACGTGTGCATGCAAACCAAGCAGCAGCCAAAAGGGTAATGGAACTGAACAGACCTTTAATAGGAGCTTCAACATACAAAATACTGTACAGTACAAAGGAAGGGCTATAAAACTAGAGCTTCAAGTAAAAAAAAAAAAAAAAAAAAAAAAACAAAAACTGCTCAAGTTTCATTCTGAAGTGAAAGTACAGAATACAAAGGCATTAAGTATGAAATTACAGGAGGCTGCAGCTGAGGTGGGGAGACCTCACCCCCCAGCAACCAGCCTTGGTAAAAAGGACAGTCAGGTATCTGTGTGAGGAGGGGCCCAGCCCTCGGCTCTGCCTGCCCGCCTCAGCAGCAGCTCTCAGCAGTCAGCAGGGCGCTGCTCCTCCCCTCGCGCGGTGCTGCAGCTCCCTGTGCTGTGGGAGCGTGGCGTCGCTCCTGGCCTGCGGCTCACGGCTCACGTGCTGCAGCCTGTGGGAAGGAAAGGCCCTGCAGAACCGGCCTGGGCCCGCGCCGCTCCTGTGGCACCTGGCGAGGTGGTTGGAAAGAGGGACGCTGGGTGCTGCAGGGAGATGGAACCTCTGCTCTGAACTGGGGCTGGCCGTGCAGCGAGGATGAGGCAGCAGTGGGCTCAGCACTGCACGGCGGGTGGCGCTGCTGCCCAGCTCTGCACCCCACCCTGCGCTGCTGCACCAGGAGCCTCTCTGCACCTGGGGGAACCTTACCTGTTATCTCAGCGTGCGCTGCGGCGGAGCCGTTCAGTTGTTGTCCCTCCTTAGGCACATCTGAAAACAGAGCAGAGCGTGGGTATGGGCTGGGAAGGCAGGAGGGCAACCGTCAGCATTCAGCCTGCACTGCTCCAGGAATGGATGGCACTTCAGGAGCAACTGAGGGATTCCACGTGACGCCCTCCTGGCTGGGTTTTACCTTCAGGACACACACCAGCAAGGCTCTGGTTAGCAAGCTTGTTTCTGATTTTTATGATTTATTAGTGTGAAATCTCATTTGTTAGAGAATTGGCTCAGTCTGAGTAGCGTGCAGATCACTGTGACCAAATAATGAGCCTGGAACGCACTTTCCTTTCACTAGAAAGAGAATAAATGATGCCAGCTGCATGAAAAAAAGTTAGGTATGGATGAGTCAGAAGCAGTAGAGCTGTTTTAACTACATGGACATGCAGTGATTGTGTGAAAATAAGCCCCAAATCCAGCTACAAATGCAGAAAACTGGGTGGGGGGAAATACAGGACAGAGAAAAGGAAGCAGTGACGCCGTGTTGTGCTCCAAGGACCACCTGCAAGGTGCACACAGCCCATACCTGCTCGGCCCCGCGTGGCAATCTCACTCGCCAGCCTCCCAAAGTACTCAGGCAGGTCTGTGTACTCATCTCCATAGGAAATCACTTTAATGCCCTTGTCCAGCATGTTCTCACGGAGCTTCTTAAACTCGTCCACATCTCCTCTCCGCACGAGCATGAAGTGCTCCAGGTCTGACTTGTGCTTCTCAGCTTCTAGAAAGAGGGCCTGAAACGTGGTGTCATCAACAGTCCAACCACAGCCCAAGAACAGGAACGACTTGTTTTCATACAGCTTCTGAATCTCTCGCTTGAAGAGAAAACAGGAAAGATGTTCTCAGTAAGAGCAGAGCCTATTTTCAGAAGGAATCTGGCTCCGAACCTACGGGGCTCTTCACAGCCCTGCAGCACAGCTCACCATCACCTCGGTGTTGCGCAGCACGTTCTGGTAGCCGGCTGGGTGCAGCACGATGCCGCTGGGGTTGGTGTACACACCGTGGATGTGCAGGACGCTGAGCTGCCTCTTCTCCTGGGCCCATTCCAGCACCTGCCAGAACAAACGGCGCCAGTGTTAGTGAGCGCTTCCAGCACAGCTGCTATGGCACGGCCTCGCTGGGTCTTCTGCAGCTCCTGCCCTAAGACTCGTCTCCCACCTCTTCAGGTGCTGAATTGTGTGCTTTAAAGTGGAGGCTCTGGAGAAGCTTCTCAAAGGCAGCTTCTTCCTCACGTTCATCTCGTTTCCTCAAGAGGTTGTGAGTTTAACAGCCTCTACGTCAGTAGCCTATGGCACTTCTTGGTTCAACACTACAGAGGAATAGCTAACGTCACTGGAAGAGACTATGATCAATGCGCCAGGCTCAGCAGAAAAAGGGGACAAATGGAATATAATGTCAGCAAATTTCTTCGAGTCCACCGTGTTCATTTTTTGCTCCCCCAGGCCCTGAGAAAGCTCAGCAGCTGACCTTCATTTCAGAAAGCCACTTTGAGGCTCTCAGTTTACTCCTACAGACCGCAGCTCATTTAAGCTGGCAATAATTAGAACGCTGATTTGTATTGCTCTAAGTACCTGCAGCCATGGAGATTAAGAGGTCACAGAGGAAACAAAGCACAGAAACAAGTCAGGATGGAAAGAAACAGATTACTTCACAGCATCCACAAACGGAGCAGCACTGTGATTTGCACGAGTAAAACCCACGGTGTAAAGCAGGGCAGTGCTGGGGGCACGGGCTGTGCTGTTTGCCACTCATTTTCTGCCTGGCTGAAGCCCCGGGCAGGCAGGGAAGTGTCTGAGGCCAACAGCTACAAATGCAGCACGAGGTCTGTGGCACACAGAGCTGCCCGGCCCTTCTGGAGGCAGGGCAGAGGGTAGGGAGGAAGGACGAAGGACCCAGGAGTCACAGCTTGCTGCCTGCCAGGCCAGAGCCCTCTCACAAAAAGCCCTCCTACAAAAGGCACATTACAGCAGACAGGCCAGCTCTGCTTTTTGCCCAGAGTTGCCAGTTTTGGTGAGAGCTGTCAATCCAAGCCTCACGTGGAAGCAAGGCTCACTGTATTGCAGCAAGGCCCAGCCACAGGTTTCAGGGACAGAGACCGGAGGAACACCAGGCTCAAAGGCTGCTCCTGAGCACAGCCAGTAAGAACTGCGCCTTAGAAACCAGCCTGCGTCGTCGCTCCTCACCACCCCAAAGTGTCAGAGCCTCTGCCTGCCCTTCACCCAACACGATGCACATTACTGTTAGCAGCACAACCCCTGACGTGGGCATAACAGCACATCCTGCAGCTGCCACCAGCCCACGTTGTCCCAGCTCAGCCCTGGATCAACATCCTTTACCTTCTTCTCATCCGTCAGGTCAAGAGACTCCAGGTGCTTCCCCTGGTGTGCTGCGTACAGTTCCAGCAGGTTGTCGAAGTTTGTGGTTAACACCAGTGCCCCGTTTTCCATCAGGTGAAGCACTGACTGAAGCAGCTGTTTCCCAGAATCTTCCATTTTAGATTCCAGGTCATCAAACACCTCGTACAGACAGTCTTTGAAAAACGTTGAGCGAACATTGCTTGTGCGCTGAGGAGCAGAGAGAGATTAAGATCAGAGCCTGCTTTCTTTTCATACTTTGTGCCAAATGAATACACAAAAACTACCCACGCGTTTCTTGAAGAGCTCTGCAAAGCTGTAGGGCCTTGCAAGGCAAACACTGCACTTTTATCAGATTTATTTTCAGGTCGAAGAGCAAGAACAAGAGAACATCTGAGAAGAGACGTTCACCAGGCATTGCTCCATCCAGACTTATTGACTCAGCTCTGCAGCTCAGAGATAAAGGAGTGTCACTCTGCACAACGGGATGGATTTCCTCTCGCCCTTCACATGCTTCTCTGAGGTGGGAGCACTCCCTGGCAAGCTCAGCATGAAATGCCAGCAGTTGGTGTTCAGTCCCTGGGAATCATGCAGCTGCTGGGGGCCCTCGGCTGTCCAAGGGACACAGACAGCTCTGGGAGCTCCTGGCCCAAAACCCCTCAGGAACCCAGCCCAGAAACAGCAGGTGCTCGACTCCCTGTAAATGCAGGACCTGCTGTGCCTCCAAAGCCACTGCTCTCCTGGGACACAGACACACAGCGGCACTCACCGGAGAGAGCTTCTGGATAAGGTCATGGGCAATGTGCACCAAGTTCTTGTACTCATGAAGACACTTCTGAAACCTTTTGCTTTCTTCATCTTCCAGAAGATCAAAGTCAATAGCGGCATCCAGGAGGGCCTGGATCAAACCCTTCCAAGACTTCAGAGCTGGGACCTGGGGAGCAACTGCAGCGCTGATTCCGGTTCCGATCACCAGAACAAGTTCCCGAGGCTTCTTGGTTTTTAGGCTTGGCAACAGCTTCCTGCAAGAGGAGAAAGCAGCACAACTGGCACCATCACACGTAGAAGGATGCCCTGAGTCATGGAACGTGCAAATCAAGGACAGCTGAGGCACTCGCTGCCTGAGTTTTTCATCAAAATGTCCATTAGGGCTCTTTGGTAAGCAGGAGAGAGACAACTCAGTATCCTTCAGGAACAGGCACAGCCCCACAGGCTGGCATCACAAAGGCTCACAATTTCACCACATGCAACTGCAATTCAGAGGAGTGCCAGACAACCTACTCGTAAGTACAGAGAGCCTCCAGAGTGCAATTATTTAGCCTCTCACGCAGCAAAGTCAAGCTAACTTGAGGAACTGCCTGAACTACCAGGATGTGCCATCCCACATTGTGCAGGAGCACAGCAGGGCAGCACCTGAATGAGGGCTAACACCCAACAGGGAGACAGAGCAGCACAACGAAGCCTTCTGCGCAAGATGCAGCCTGGCTTTGGAGTTAAGGAAACCAGCAGCAAGGAATTCTTGGGCACATGCTCAGCATTAAGGCCTTTGTTTCATGCACCACAGGAAAGCACTACTTAGAGAGCACAGCTAGAGACAGAACGCCTTTCCTGGATCAGCAACAGAGAGGACTGCTAAAGCTCTGTGCCAAACATCGGTCTGATTAAAGGACGACGCAAGGTTACGGGAAAAGCTCTCATTAGAAGAAATGCACTGGCGTGTAATTGGAGTTACCTGGGCTTTTTTGCGGGGGGCATTCCATCTTCCAATAATGTTTCTTTACCCAGGCTCACCGTAGAAGCCATCCAGTTTCTACAGTAGACAAATCACCACACGCAAAGTCACCACATGTTTGCATCAGACGGCAGGTCTTCGTGCAGCCGGCTGTGCCAGGCGCATAGTGCTCGTCTCGTTATCTCCACATCACCTTTGAGCCAAGACTCAGGCTTCCTCGCTTTTGCACTTTGTACCCTGGCTCTCATCCACTCCTCAACTTCTTCTGACAACACAGCATGGTCAGATTGGCTGCTTTGTACCGCTGAGGCTCTCTGGGGAGCCTGAGGATAAGGCACCTTCACAGCACATCGCTCTCGCTGCTTCAGAAACAGCAGGAGGGAAAAAGCACAAACAGATTTTTGTTGGCTACAAAGGGCTGCTGGGAGCACTGCATTCCCTGGTGCCAAGGGAGGGACTGTCCAAACCCGCCACACATCTGGGCTCGGTGGGATCTGACTGCCAAGCTGACAGAAAGGAAGGAAGCCGCAGTGCTGAGAGCTCTCAATAGCAAATTACGTAAAGCACAGAAAGTCTGCCAGGAAATGCTCCTCTCCCACACGTTTCTCCAAAATAAGTCTATTAAAAGGCAAAGAAAACAGAAAGATCTATGCACCCTTATGTATTTTTCTTGCCAATTGTAATGAAGAGTCCAACAAGAATTCTGGTTTGGGTTACTGCAATGGTAGGCTTTTGCCAAACAGAAATGTTGTATGAGAGCAGCTGGCCTGAAATCACAGCTTTTTATAGGGGCTGTGGCCTTCGTTGTCACGCAGCCTCAGTTAGATTACGGACAGTTTGGGTTGGAAGGAACCTCAGTCCATGCAGCTCCACTCCCCAGCTGTGTGCTGGCTGCCCCCCAGCCCAGCGCTCACCCACAGGGACGGGGCAGCACAGGTCTGTGCAGCACTGCAGCGCCTCACCGCCCCGAGGGAAGGATTTCCTCCTCACATCTGACCTCAACCTCTCCTCTTTCAGTTTAAAGCCATTCCCCTTCTCCTTTCATTGCCTCTGTAAAAAGCTGGCCTGTCAAACAGAACAAGTGAGCCTGCAGATGCTCCACCAACTCCAGGAGCAACACTGCAGTGTAATGCATGTGAAAGTTCTACAGGAAGCCCCAGCTGTGCTGTAAGTGTTAGCAGGAATAATTTAAGAGGTTGTCCCAATAATCTAGATAACCTTTTCACGCTGGATAATGAAAACAGGACACGCTGACTCTCCCAAGAGCAGTGCAATGGCACAGTGTGCTTGCCAGGCTTCGTTTCCTTCCCCTTCTGAAAGCCTGCACTGTAATGCACTTGGAGAGGTGTGCAGGGACCCCGCTTTCACCTTCTGAGCAGTCCTGGGCACATGCTGCCCACCTACCTCACATAACAGACTTTTGTTCTCCTTGTCTCACCTGTTCACAGCCCAGCCTGACGCCACTTACTCCTCTTACACGTATGCAGTATTTTGGACAGCATAAGTGGAGAACTCAGTTTAATTATTACACGATCCTAAAGTATTGAGGACATTCCAAAAGTCATTCTGACTTAGGAACACTCTGACTTTGTAGCTACCAAGGCAGTTTTCTAAGATTACAAACTTCAGCCTTCATCTCTACTTAACGCAGACAGCCAAAAAGAAAGAAACAAAAACAAACCACAAATAATGTCTCGTCTCCTCCTGTCTCCAAAAAAAGTGCTTTTTGTTCTGAGCTCTGATAATAGCAAAGCTCTTTACAGTTTACTTCTTGAGGAGTAAGACTTGGAAGCCTCCAGACTTTCAGCCTGGGAGAAGGTCTGCTCTGCAGGGCACAGATCACATGAGCACAAACGTTCTGGGGGTAACGGAGCTTCAGCAGCACCATCTCCAAGTGTGACATCACTGCTGCATGGAAAACCCCACGCCGGGGCCTGGGCAGGAGCTGACCCTGCTGCGAGTTCCACCAAGGCAAAACAAACCAGGCACTCACCAGGTAAGAAGCAGTTCTCCAGTTTTTCTCCTCAAACGTCCTGAACTTTCCAGGTATTCAGACTACACTGAGTTGGAGACAGCGCAGAAACCGCCCTGCAGCTCTTGGCTTATCTGTCTTGTCACAATCTCGTTCTGCTCTCAGCAGTACAGAACGGCTGCCGGACAGTCTGTGCGCTGACTTCTCTCACAGCCCCCGGGGTGCAGGAAAGCGAGCAGAGGGGCTTCAGCCGAGCCCAAAGGAAAAGATGGAGGCTCGGAGGGGCGATCCAGACAGAGCCAGGAGGGCGGGCGGCGCCGCGTCCCCGGCCCGCTCGGGTCCCTCCCGGCCCCTCCGCCCCCCCCCGTCCCGCGGCCCCCCCCCTCCCATCCCCCCTCCCATCACCGCCCCGCTGTCATCACCGCCCCGCTGTCATCGCCGCCCCGCTGTCATCGCCGCCCCGCTTCGCGCCCCTTCCGCCCCGCGCCCGCCGTCGCCGAGGCAACGCTCCCCCCTCCCCGCACGCACCTGGCACCGCGCGTCCCGCCCCACGTGGTGACGTCCTCCTTGCGGCGCTCTGCGCAAGCGCCGTCCCGCCCCCTGCCGAGTCGTGGGTGGGAGAACGGGAGGCGATTGGCCCGCCTCCTTCCATAGCGCTCTTCCATTGGCTCCGTCCCGGAAGGGGCGGGAATTTCCACCACAAAATTGGGAGAGGGGGTGGGAGAAGAATAAAGCGCATGTGCGAGAATTGGCACAGATCTCGCGATGCTTCCAGCGTGGGGATATTAAAAATAGATAAATAAATAAATGGCGGCTACGACGTGCGGTGGGCGGGGCGTCTGTCGGTCCGTCCGTGAGGGAGGAGGGGCCGCGCTGCCGGGTGCCCGGTTGGTATCGCAGAGCTCGGAGCGGCTGTGCGGGGGTTGGCGGAGGGCAGGGAGCAGAGACGAGAGAGGGCGGCCTGGGCTGCGAGCTGTGCGCCTCCAGGTGGGGCCCGTTGGTGCCGGTGAGTCACTGCGGGCACTGCGTTGCGGGGCCGCCCCGGCCCGTGTGCTGACAGCCGCGCTGGGGGCGGCTGCTCCCTGTTCAGCAGCGGCGCTGGTCGCGTCAGGGCGGTGCTGAGCGCCTCGCAGAGCTGCCCGGAGCTCCGTGCCGGTGAGAGGGGCCGGCCCTGCTGGGGAGAGGGAGCCAAGTGCGGGTTGGAGGATGTGGAGGGAAAATGGAGACCCGCCGTTTACCTGTTGTTGGTCTTTTTGTAGGTTGAAAGGCTGAAATCCTTCGAGCCCCGGTCCGCCTGAAGGTCTGAGCTGGCAGGCGCTCGTGTCTGAGGTGGGGCTGATCGCGGTGCTTTGGGGCTTTGGGGCGCTGGGCTCCTCACAGCTGCCCACACTGCATGTGGGGTGGGACGGGCAGCCCCACGGCAGGGATGCGGGGGGTGATGCTGCCAGCAGGGGGTGAGAGTCCCCTCTGTGCACCTCCAGCCTGGACAGTGAGGGAAGGTCTTGTCTGTCCTCTGTAGAAGCAGTGAATGGCACTGTGCATCGCTGCGAGTGATGGGGTGCAGAGCAGGGATTTAAGCAGCTGAAGGTGGTTTCCTGCATTGTCAGTGTTGGGGGGAAATGCTCCAAAAGGGCAGATGTGGTCTAACCTGCGGTGCCGTGATGCCAAGCCATAGGGCTGCCTCCTGACCCCGCTGCCCCTCCAGTGCTCTGGGTGATGCTGAACTCTCTAGGTGGGATCTGTGGGTCTGCAGTGCTTGTATAGGGAGGGAAACATGTTGTTTGCTGCCCTCAGCTTGCACATATCACGTAAATGAGAAGCTTGTGGCTTTGCCCTTGTCCCCCATGCTGTGAGTGAGGCAGGGATGGGAGAAGGGAGAATTTGGGGTCCTTGAGGATATGCAACAGTAAGGATGTCAAGGTGCTGTTCTCACTGCGTTGATGGGGTTGGCCCAGCTGTGACGGATGTGGGAGGGCTGGAGGGAGGCCCTAGGGAGGGCTGGTCTCCCAGCTCAGGATTGCTGCCGGCTTCCCCTCCCTCCACTTCCGTGCCCAAGCTGCTGGCTGGTCTGCCTGCCAGTGAGACACCAGCCCCAAGATGACTCTTCTGTGCTGCTGGGGCTGGTGAGTGCTCCCTACAAGGAGGGAGGGGGTGGGAGTGCTTTGTTGGAGCTGCACTGGGGCAAGGAGGAAGATGCAGAAGTGGCTCAGCTGGGCCATTCACACTGGATCCTATTAGGCTCCAGAGTGAATATCTTCTGTCTGCGCCTCCCACCCAGAAGACCCTCCTGCCTACCTCATGCTGTGCCATCCAGGTCTGATGCAGCCCCTTCTGTGCTCTGACACAAGGATTTCAGGTGGGTACCCCAGTTCCCTGCCCACTAAGCCGCTCTTTAATGTCACACTTATGCTTTTTTGCTATTACTAAGCAGGAGATTGCCTGGGGAGTGTGGTTTCCGTGGGCAGGGCACTGTATGCTGGTGGGTCTGGAGGTTTTGTCGGCGCTCACTTCACATCCTGCTTCTTTCATGGGGGAAAGACTCCAGTGCTTATTTTGAATGAGGTGATGCAAGTGTGGAAAAGTGCGGGGCGGGGGGAGGTGTTGAAACAAGCAGGAGCAGACGTGCTGCTGGCACACCAGTATATCCCTTGTATGAGTCGCTCCAGTGCCCCGATCTCATCGAGGTGCAGATCCCTGTGCACTCACATCCAGACAGGTGGGGCCTGGTGCATCCTTACTGTCAGGCAACTGATCCTCACTGGGCAAAGCTGGCCTGTGGGCCTGCCTACGTGTTTTTAGGGAGAGATGCACACCCAAATATGAGGGAGGAGTAGCACCAAGGGCGTGGGATATGGGCTGAGTAGGAAGTAGTGCTGCTGTGCCGATCCCTGGAAACTGATTCCTTCTCCTCCCATCCTCACAGGATCTGTTCCCTCCCCTGGGCTCTGGCTGGCCCAGCTCTGGGTATGAGGAGCCCTCCTGCTCTGACATCACGTGCTGCAGGTGAGGGTGTTGCCAGAGGCGTCCTAGTTCACAGCCCTTGGGAGCAAAGGAGTTTGGACATACACAACCTCAGCAATGCCAAGGGCTCAGAGGGATGCAGCTGAACAATGTGCTTGGAGCTGGATCCGAAACATTGCTCTGGGGAAAAGTTTAGGAAGAAGGGTGGCAGGGGGAGCTGGTGTTTTGAGGAAGGCTTGCTGTAAGAGCTGAGGCCCAGGCAAGTTACACAGCACGACAGCATTGGGCATTGCCAGCACGTTGCTGCCACAAACATGCCTGTTGCAGGTGAGGAGGAAAGAGCTGGGGCTGCCCCACAGCACAGGGCTCTGGGTGATGCATGGGGCTGCCCCTGCTGCATGCCCCCCAAACTCCCCTTTCCCACGCAATCCCCCCAGGTCATGGTGAAATCCCATGTGCAGCCTGCACCAAGCACAAGGGGAAGTGAATCTGTCTGTCTGTCCCTTTTGCTTGTGTGGGTTTACAGGAATTGTTGCCATGGAGTGAGCGTTGTGGAACGGCGCTGGTGGAGGTTGTTTTGGGGCTGAGAGCCCTGTCACTGCATGCCTATGGGGTGCAGATGCACTGAGCGTCCTTGGGTGCATTGTTCTTTCTTTCCCCTCTGCATTTCTCCTTGCAGGAGAGGTTTCATGCAGGAGCTTGGAGGCTGAGTGGTGGACTGCCTGTTATGGCTGGTGAGCGATTTGCTGGGAGAAGGGAGCTGGAGGGCAGGGAAGTGGGGAACAATCCCAAGGCTTACCATGCAGTGTAGGGGCTGTCAGAGGCAGGGTGGTCAAGAGACTTTAAGGGATGTGAGGCGGGGGCTCTCAGGAGGATGTGGCTTCTTAGAGCTCAGCCTCCCTTCTGTCCCCTCCCCTCTGCAGGATGGTTTAGGCGACTCCTGCAGAAGCCCAAGCAGAGCTCCATTCACACATCGAGCAGCTCGCATAGCATGACCAGCCACTCACTGTCGTCCTCACCCTCCTCCTTCTCCTCCTCCTCCTCTGCTTGGAGCTCCAGCTCCTCCAGCAGCACCAGCACATCTCGGCCTGGCCGCCCAGCCCCAGTGGACATCAGCAGCTCGAGCAGCGCACGCTGGGCGAAGAGCTACGATGTGTGCATCTGCCACAGTGAGGTGGACCTGGAGTTTGTGGAGGAGCTGGTGTCCTACCTGGAGAGCCAACCCCAGAGCCTGCGCTGTTTCCTGCAGCTGCGGGACAGTGTGGCGGGCAGTGCTGTCGTGACAGAGCTGTGTGAGGCTGTGCAGAACAGCCACTGCTGGGTGATGCTCATCACCCCCAGCTTCCTGCAGGACCCCTGGTGCAGGTACCAGATGCATCAGGCACTAGCAGAGGCCCCGATGGCCAACGGGCGTACCATCCCTGTGCTGAAGGACATTGACAGGAAAGATTACCCCAGGGAGCTGAGGAACCTCTACTACATCTACACGGCCCTCAAGGAGAACAGCTTCAGGCAGATCAGGGACACTGTGCTGCGCTGTGAGTACCCTGCAGCCTGTACCATGGGGTGGAGCGTTACCTCTGTCCCCAGACATCCCCCAGTGGGCCACGGGAAGGGGTTGGATCCTTTAACCATTTAAATGGTTAATCTGAGATCAGTCAGCCTGCTAATGGGGCCTGTCTGCTGCCTCCACAGATCTGGAAGAGCTGTGCCGGAACTCCACGAGTGGAATGGAGTAGTGCCCACCGAGGGCACTTGTGTCTGAGCAAAGCTGGAGGCATTTCTGTGGGCATTTCAGAGCAATGGGACAAAGTGGTGCCACTGGGGCCGGAGCCGAAGACCCTTCACATCACTGCTGAGCTGCCATCATGCCTGCCCAGCCCCACTGTGCTGAGGGTTGGGGCTCTATGGGGACAAGGCTGGGGACTGCATCGCTTGAGCGTGTCATGCAAACACTAAATTCCCACAGGGCAAAGCACAGGGGGGCTCTGCAGCGACTTCTGAGGATGAGGGCACTCAGGGTGCCTGGATCCTCCTGTGCAAGCTGATG